ACAGGCACGCATGCAGCACCCACACACACAGGCACGCATGTAGCACCCACACACACAGGTACGCATGTAGCACCCACACAGGTACGCATGTAGCACCCACACACACAGGCACGCATGCAGCACCCACACACACAAACGCATGTAGCACCCACGGCACACACACAGGTACGCATGTAGCACCCACACATACAGGTACGCATGTAGCACCCACACACACAGGTACGCATGTAGCACCCACACGCACAGGCACGCATGCAGCACCCACACACACAGGCACGCATGTAGCACCCACACACACAGGTACGCATGTAGCACCCACACAGGTATACGTATGTAGCACCCACACACACAGGTACGCATGTAGCACCCACACACACAGGTACGCATGTAGCACTCACACACACAGGTACGCATGTAGCACCCACACACACAGGTACGCATGTAGCACCCACACACACAGGTACGCATGTAGCACTCACACACACAGGCACGCATGCAGCACCCACACACACAGGTACGCATGTAGCACCCACACACACAGGCACGCATGTTGCACCCACACACACAGGCACGCATGTAGCACCCACACACACAGGTATACGTATGTAGCACCCACACACACAGGTACGCATGTGGCACCAACACACACAGGCACGCATGTAGCACTCACACACACATGTACGCATGTAGCACCCACACACACAGGTACGCATGTAGCACTCGCACACACAGGTACGCATGTAGCACCCACACACACAGGCACGCATGTACCACTCACACACACAGGTACGCATGTACCACTCACACACACAGGCACGCACGTAGCACCCACTCACACAGGCACGCATGGAGCACCCACACACACAGTTACGCATGTAGCACTCACACACACAGACACGCATGTAGCACTCACACACACAGTTACGCATGCAGCACCCACACACACATGCAGTTACGCATGTAACACTCACACACACAGACACGCATGTAGCATTCACACACACAGGTACGCATGTAGCACCCACACACACAGGTACGCATGTAGCACCCACACAGGTACGCATGTAGCACCCACACACACAGGTACGCATGCAGCACCCACACACACAGG